TGCCTCTGCCCGATGTGCCTCTGCCCGGTGTGCCTCTGCCCGATGTGCCTCTGCCCGATGTGCCTCTGCCCGATGTGCCTCTGCCCGGAGTCCAGCCCGATGTGCCTCTGCCCGGTTGTGCCGCTGCCCGGAGTGCCAGTCTTTGATATCCCGCCAGTTACCAGACCCGGCGGTGGAACATTTTGCCCAGCTAGGACTGTTTGGAGCGTCCTGAGGCCGTTCCTTGAGGGGGGGGTACTGTCAGGAATGGACTGGCCAGCAATAGTGGGACTCAGCTGCCTTATGAGCTGCAGTGCCAGGGCTGGCCAGCGGGTGCTCCCAGCAATCAGAGACTCAACCTTGCAGCCAGTCAAACACCTGGAACTAATTATACTGGTGTATTTAAGGGACATTCAGACCTGCAGACTCTGCCTTGGTGTTGTGTTTCTCTTGGGCCCTGTATCCTGTTCCTGCTCTCTGTTCCTGTCTGATTCTCTGCTGACCCTGCTCTGATCCCTGGCTTGTCTGACCATTCTCCTCTGCCTGACCCTCTGTACCACGCTGCCCGCTACCTGCTGAACCTGGCCTGTGACCCCGACCATTCTCCGCTTGCTCCCCCTGTACCTACCTGCCCGACTGATATTGACCCGGCCTGCCTGACGACGCTTGCATTGTATGTACTGTTATCTGTGGGTGGTTGGTTGGTTTGTTTGCACTGTGTTATGTTTTAGTATTGCACTGCGTTTATGTTTGTATGGTTAGTGTTAATAAATTACATTGTTTATAACATATCTGAAGTCTGCGTTTCCCTGCGTCAGTCACACACCTCTGGTCATACCCGGGAGCCCTGACACTCCCTCAAGAGTTGGTTCTGCCCAGCTCAGTGGATTGCTTCAAAAAAGGCCTGGATTCTTTCCTAGATACACATAGTATAACTGGATACTAACATTTATAGGTAAAGCTGATCCAGGGAATATCCAATTGCCTCTTGGGAGATCAGAAAGGATTTTTTTTTTTCCCAGCAGGAGCATGCTTTTGCTGTTTTTTTCTGGATCAACTGTGGGTAAAGGATTATAACTTTTTTTTTTTTTTTTTTTAATGGTTGAACTGGATGGACTTTTGTCTTTTTTCAGCCAGACTAACTATGTAACTATGAACCCAGTACCTAAGAGCCCAAAGCGAGCTAGTCCGTCAATCTGATTGCTACTCATACTGCTCACTTGGGAGAAAACGTCCCAGGGCTGAGGGTACTGCCTGAATTCTGAATTGAACGACATAAAAGAACTGATTGAGTGGGTTATGTTGCAACCCTTTATTTGAGTTTATTAAGACTGTTAACTGGCATTCTCTTGCACATACAGTGCCTTCTTGTCATTTTATTGTGCTTGCATTTACTGTGCTAACTAATTGAACTCAAAAATAATCAAATTGTCAGTTCACTCTCACTTGCGTGAGTCTATTTTATGGTGAAAGGCCAGAGGGTTCTCCCGGCCAAAGGTTTAAGGTGGTGTTAAGGTGGTTAGGCATCCAAAGCAGGCTCAGGGAGACAGGGAACCCAAAAACAACTCAGCGGCCCTCAAGGGAGTAGTGCTACACTTAGCTGATAGAACAAGTTACCAGGACCAGACCAGGAAAATATGTCTTTATCCATTAAGTCCTTTCTGACATTAAACTATAGTCTGTGCTTTTTGCTTCCCCGTAGAGCGATTTATCTTGGGCTATTTCCAGGAAATTACACATCACAATACAAGCTGTGGAGGTCGGATTGACCAGTGGTCACAACGTTACAAATAAAAGGATCAGTTTGGCTGAACACAATACAGTCCAACAATGCTCCCATCCCTGGCCTCTCTATGAGGTGTTTTCATAAACCCTCCATCGATTGTTATTACAGTCCTCATTTTTATATTAATCTCTTTGTGAAACCAAAAGAAAGTGTTTAGATTTAAATACTAAAGAGAGTTAATTGTGTGCACAATGCTGAATTAACAAAAATGATAATAGAGGGTTGATACATTAATAGGATGAATAATACAAATAATACACACAAGATCTTCCTGAGATTGAGCTATTCAGAGGAGTAGATGGTATTCGCCCATCACAGTGTGGGGACTCAGTTTCCTAAGTATAAAATAAGAAAAAACAGGTTTCAGGCACTTTCTGATTCAATTGTTTTATTAAGGTTTTATACGATGTGTATAAATATGTAAGACAACAATATGGAATGGTGTGAACATTAAAAATTGATAGGAATTGATTGAGAGGAATAACAAACATAATAGTTGGGCATAAAACATGTTTTTAAATTTGAATTTCATTCTGAATTATGTCAATAATGTGTGAGGGACTGGGAAGGTGGGAGGCGGGACACAAGGTAAGGAGGGGGGGGGGAGTATGGGAGAAGGAAAGTGGGGTAAAAGATGTGTAGCATGCACCCCCCCGTTGACTGGTCCCCAGGTTCTTTCCTCAGGAAGTCCACAAATAGCCACCTACACAGTCTCAGCCACTTTTCTGGCTCAATAAACAGTCTAGAGCAGAGGTTCTCAAACTTTTGAAGAGCGAGGGCCACTTAAGTGATTTGGTAACCAGTCGTAGGCTAGCGAATTTTGAATATTTTATTTTGAATAGCATAGTGAACATTTTTGTCCTACATCTGCTGAATGTCAGTGGGAGAAGAAAGAGAAACCGGCTTTCAACAGCTGCAGGAGGAAAATGGAGAGGATCGGTTCCTGTATATGTCACCCCGCCACCCCTCCTGTCCAAGTGTGTCCTAAGGTTGCTTTCACACTGATGTGCTGCAGTTTACCCGCACTACTGGTGCAGCACAGTGCACCTTCAGCTTTCCTGCGAGTTAGCTGCGCTTTGCCTTGGACTTCAATTATATCCTGCGGATGTAGTGCACTTTCTTAAAGCACACCAAAACTCCTGCATTCAGTTTGGCAAGGGCCACATCAGAGGGCTTCAAGGGCCACAGGTTGTGCATACCTGGTCTAAGGGTATCCTTTTTCTGATGCTTTATTAAAGTTGAATTTGGATGCAGGGGCGGACTGACCATTTGGAAACTCGGGCACTGCCCGAGGGCCCTGGGTCAGTAGGGGGCCCCATGAGATGCCCCTGGTACCTTTTTCATAGGCTTTTTTGAGTTTGGGCAAGGACACAGGGGCCCCATGATCCCCTATTGCCCGGGGGCCCCATGAGTTGTCAGTCCGCCCCTGTTTTGATGGGTGCAGGGTAACCGTGGGGTAGTCCAGTAATGTTAAGTAGTATGAGGACACCTGCCTCCTCAAAGCTCCCTAATCTTTGCAGCAGCAAATATTGGACTGAACTACACATGGTCACCATATGAAATGTCCACTTTTAAGCTCAGGCTGACTCTGATGGAGGAGGGATAGCAGCACACAATCATCAGGATCTCACTTGCTGGTCTGTACTCAAAAAAATGTCCTTGGATATTTAGATGCCTCCTTCCAATATCAACCAGGCATCTCTCCAGTCAACTCATCGGACCAGATCCCCAAAAGGAAATCCCTCAATCAGCTCTAGCAAAGTTCAGTAGAATAGCACCCCCCCCCCCCCCAGCTAGCACAATTGGGATAAGCAAATAAAGGAGTATAATTAGACTGCTCAGAAAGGCAGCAGCCCTTCAGGTTGGGATCTCCTCCTCCTGCACAAGAGCCCCTCAGCTGCATTCCTCAGACTATTTATGCTCCCTCCCAACCACCTACTGGACACCCTCCCCCAGGGATTGGTTGGAGCCACATTCAGACTACATTCCATAACCATCCAGAAGGCAGGAAGAAGCAGTCAAACCCATAGCCAATGGAATTCGGAGCAGACCTGAGCAATCAGAAGCAGCTCCACTGATTACAGGAGATCTAAATAACTAAATCAACCTAATCTAGTACCTATCTAGGAGGTACTAAAGTAATTAGGGGGAAGAAGGACAACGTAGAAACAAAGGGAGTTGAAGAAGAAAAACATGGAGGGGGGGGGTTATAAAGTTGTCTCTCTTGGCTATATTTTCATGCACTTTCAGTGGCTGTCCTTTAATCAGAACTGATAATTAAACCTTGATATGTGTTCAGAGAACCCACCTGATCAATATGTATGAAGCACAAATACCCTTCCCAACACTAACACTTGGTATGAGCACTATCACAGCTGCGTACGCCTGGTGCTCCCTCTGTCAGCTTAGTCTGAAATTTCATCTGGTGTGCAGAGGATGGTGATATACTTATGTTATGGACCGGCCTTTGAATGATGAGATAAGCCTGATGAGAAGTGTTCGGGTTTTGCCTGCAGTACTGAATAGTTCAGCCCAAACTAGGCTTTTTGAAAAGCCCATATTTATATATGCCATGAATCAGTGCCATGTGTACGGGGAATGATTGTACTGTGATGTTAAAGCTCCATTGGTAATTGAATTTGCGAAGATCCCCTCATCACTATGGTGCACTAAGGAGCTACAGAGGCAATCACACCTAAAGACTCTACGAGGTTCATTTACTAAAACGGAGAGTGCAAAATCTGCTGCAACTGTGCATAAAAAATGATCAGCTTCTAACCTCAGCTTGTTCAGTTAAAGTGTTACTAAACCCAGAACAGTACAATCAGTCTGTATATACAGTAAAGCATGCTTGTTATACTCACTGTGGAACCTAAGGGGTTAATCCTCTGCACTGTGTAAAAACGCTGTTTGATCCTGTCTTCTCTGATCCACCCCTTCTTCCAGTGTCCCCCTCTTATATCCTGATAAGACATATCATGTGGAGGCACATGCTCAGTTTGGTGTGTATTGCTAGAGAAGTTATTTTTTTTCTTTGGAGGGTGCATGTGATCAGCACAGGGCCAATCACTACTGTCCAGACAAGAGGTCAGGGGTCCTACATCCTCCTAGAGCAGAATAAAAACTCCTCCTACAAAAGTTAACCAGTGCCTGGCTGGGCACTGATAGAAGTCACAAGACTGCTCTAACTGCTGATGAGAAAAGGTATTTAGCAGCTTATATTTATTAAAATAAATTGCATTTCCTTGTTCTGTGTACTGTGGGACACCAGATATAGTGAATGCGGGGTCCGGGGAGACCAGATATAGTGAATGCAGGGTCCGGGGAGACCAGATATAGTGAATGCAGGGTCCCGGGGAGACCAGACATAGCGGATGCAGGGTCCGGGGAGACCGGATATAGTGAATGCAGGATCTGGGGAGACCAGATATAGTGGATGTAGGGTCCAGGGAGACCAGACATAGCGGATGCAGGGTCCGGGGAGACTGGATATAGTGAATGCAGGGTCCAGAAGACCAGATATAAGGAATGCAGGGTCCGGGGAGACCAGATATAGAGAATGCAGGGTCCAGGGAGACCAGATATAGTGAATGCAGGGTCCGGAGAGACCAGATATAAGGAATGCAGGGTCCGGGAGACCAGATATAGTGAATGCAGGGTCCAGGGAGACCAGATACAGTATAGTGTATGCAGGGTCCGAGGAGACCAGATATAGTGAATGCAGGGTATGGGAAGACCAGATATAGTGAATGCAGGATCCGGGGAGACCAGATATAGTGAATGCAGGGTCCGGGGAGACCAGATATAGTGAATGCAGAGTCTGAGGAGACCAGATATAGTGAATGCAGGTCCGGGGAGACCAGATATAGTGAATGCAGGGTCTGGGGAGACCAGATATAGTGAATGCAGGGTCCAGGGAGACCAGACATAGCGGATGCAGGGTCCGGGGAGACTGGATATAGTGAATTCAGGGTCCAGAAGACCAGATATAGTGAATGCAGGGTCCGGGGAGACCAGATATAAGGAATGCAGGGTCCGGGAGACCAGATATAGAGAATGCAGGGTCCAGGGAGACCAGATATAGTGAATGCAGGGTCCGGAGAGACCAGATATAAGGAATGCAGGGTCCGGGGAGACCAGATATAGTGAATGCAGGGTCCAGGGAGACCAGATACAGTATAGTGTATGCAGGGTCCGAGGAGACCAGATATAGTGAATGCAGGGTATGGGAAGACCAGATAAGTGAATGCAGGATCCGGGGAGACCAGATATAGTGAATGCAGGGTCCGGGGAGACCAGATATAGTGAATGCAGAGTCTGAGGAGACCAGATATAGTGAATGCAGGTCCGGGGAGACCAGATATAGTGAATGCAGGGTCTGGGGAGACCAGATATAGTGAATGCAGGGTCCGGGGAGACCAGATATAGTGGATGCAGGGTCCGGGGAGACCAGATATAGTGGATGCAGGGTCCGGGGAGACCAGATATAGTGGATGCAGGGTCCGGGGAGACCAGATACAGTATAGTGAATGCAGGGTCCGGGGAGACCAGATATAGTGAATGCAGGGTCCTGGGTTTAGTAACACTGTAAGCTTTGGAAAAAAAAATGGAAGCTAATTGGTTTCTATGCAGATCTGCACTAGATTTTGCACTCTTTAGTTTTATTAAATCAACCCCTATATATTTAAATGTATACAGTATATATCATTTTTGTTTTACAATTAAACATTTCATATGTGACCAGGGATTGCCAAAGCACTATGAGTTAGCATAGCAGACAATGCAGCAGGCACTGCTTCCTTTAAAACGTCCGTTTTCTCCAAAAAACAGGGATGTGTCGCTGCAATACACTAATTTCTGTAAAACGTAACTTCTTGGTCAGATACTGGCATCCCCCATTGTTCTCTGTGGTTTCCTCTGCTGGTTTCTACATCACTACTGGACACAAGGGGCAGTATAAGGAAACAGGCATCTGGAACACTCGGAAGTGAGCTTTCAGCAGGGTTTGGGTGGTGTGGACAGATGGACAGGTAAGAAATAATTGCTTTGCAGGGATGCCTTCATGACATGTGTAGCACCCTCTAGGTAGCTAGGTTTTGTTGTTTATGTTAGTCAGAGGTTGGATAGCAGCCTGGGATGGGTCAACCTACATAGTTACTATGGCTGAAAAAAGACAAAAGTCCATCCAGTTCAACCATAGAGAAAAAAAAAGTTATAATCCTACACCTACAGTTGATCCAGAGGAAGGCAAAAAAAACCCCAGCAAAGCATAATCCAATTTGCTCCTGCTGGGAATGGGAATGAGGTAATAAGTTCATGTCAGTACAGGCTGGGAGGCTCTACAGGTCATGCCTTCTGTAGCCCTCCCACCCTTCCAGAAACTCAAGGAATTTTCTGGAAGAGGGGCAGAGGAGGGGAGGAGGCACCGATTTGCATGTTAAGGGAACCCCCAGGCAGGAGGTCAAGCATGGTGGACAAGGGCAACCCTAAATGTAGAAGAGCCTGAGCAGCAGAGAAGTCAGGTGGAAGATGGACTGAGATAAGGCTCGAGTGTGGAGCCTGAGAGGGGGCCCCAGGGGGGTGGGGGGCTACCTACAGGCAGGATGCTGGAAAGTAGGATCTTCACTGCCCAAAGTCTCTTATGGAGGACATCCTGTGCAGCATGGAAGGAGCCAGCCCAGCGAAAGGCCTGAAAGCAGCTACCAGGACAGGACAGTGTTTTGACAGTGCACTTTTTCACCCCCTGGGCCAGATAAAGGCAGAGGGCAGTCAGGTGCAAGACCCAACTAGTTCTCATCCGGTACTACTTCATTGCTAGATCTTGGAATCAATGGCCCAGGGACACCCTCAGTGCAGCTGGGTGAAGAGGAAGGATTCATCTGGGGTCTGAGGAGGTACATCAAGGGAACTTCAGTGCTCTTTAAAGAGACAGTGCTATACTTTTCAGATCTACATTTTCTGCACAGTGTACAGTTTGCTAAGGAGTTTGTCCTCCTCGCGTTTACAGTTCCTTGGGCATCCCACATCCCCTTAGACCCCATCCCAGTTATTAACCCCTTAATAAAAACAACTAAAAACCAGCTCAAGAACTGTATTACTGACTCCAAGTGTGTAAGTGTGGAAAATGCGTGTTGCCTGGTCGTGCAGAGCTTAGGGGGACCCAAATCAGATCCAGTGGCCCTCGAGAGGGAAGTGCTACACATGTTGCAGAAATAGAAGCACTTTAACTTTCAGCTTAAGCTATTGGGTTCTGTAAACAATTAGCTTTTTTTATCAGAAAGAAAAGAGAAAACAGAGAAAATGTGAAAAGGAGCATAAAGCTCAGCAAGAAAATGCAAAATGTTATTATGTAATATTTAATTTTTATCTGGCTTTAACTTTTAATTTTTTTTTTCCTTTTTAGTTTTATGGCAATAAATAAGAAATGAAGTTACGTACAAAGTCAGGGTACATTTCCTTTAGTCTTTATCTTTGTTGCAGGCTGCACCCCTGGATATGATGAATTATTTTGGGGAACAGGCAGCTGCAGCTTATAGTTCTTAGTGGTACATTTCTTTTAATCATCAGGACAGCCGACAAATGTTAGGCTAAGTTTAGATATAAGGTTGGGGGTCATTAACAACCTGTGGTTGATGCGTGTTTTTTTTACTGTCCCCCAACCTCCCCCTCCCCTTAACCAGTTTCCGACCGGCCGTTGTATATAAACGGCCAGACGGTGGCAGTGCAGGGTCGGGTGGCCGTTTATAAACGGCCTCCCCGCACCCTGCTTGTGCGTGCTCCCTGGGAGCGTGCAGCACCCGCGATCCGGTGCCCGCTGTGTCCTCCGGACACAGTGGAATACCGATCGTCGGACAGGACTTCTGTACGAGGTCCCGATCATGTGATCGCTGATTGGCCAATCAGTGATCACATGCAAAGTAGTAAGCAAGATGTCACTTGTGACATCATTGCTTACTACGTGTGAAATCTGTGAATGATCACAGAGGTCATATGGTACAAGGCTATTCACAACAGCCTTGTACCATGTGACAAGCTGTGACCAATCATAGCTCACTCAGTACTTCTCAATGACTGCAAGAATGCAGACAGAGAAAAGGAGACATGATTGTTTTTACAGCCTATATGGGTGTAAAAGCAATCAGTGTAAAAAAAAAAAAAAAAAAAAATCTTCATCACCCCCAAGTAGTACAGTGTCACCATGGTGACACTGTACTGCTAGGGTGACAGTATTTAAAAAAAATAAAATAAATAAAAAATAATAATATAAAAAAATAAATTAAAAATGTAAAAAAATTTTTTTAAAAATTATAATTTTTGGTTATAAACTAATTTGGATTTTTTTTTACTAAAAAGATAACAGAATAAATGTTGGCCAAGATTTATGATGAAATATTATTTATTTGCAAAATTTGATAAAAAAAACACTTTTTTTCAAAAATTTTTGGACTTTTTCATTTACATAGCAAAAAAAAAAAAAATCCCAGCGGTGAATAAATACCACCAAAATAAAGCTTTATCTGTCTCAAAAAATGGTAAAAAAATTCATTTGGGTACAGTGTTGCATGACCGCGCAATTGTTATTCAAAGTGTGATAGCGCTGAAAGCTGAAAATTGCCCTGGACAGGAAGGGGGTAAAAGTGTCCGGTCTGGAAGTGGTTAAGCTGCAATGACAGCGAACTGGGGTGTTCACATGCTGTGGTCACGGTGCTTCGAGGCTGTGACAAAAACTGTGCAATGTGTTTTGTGTAGCATTCGAGCCAATTGTCTCAAGTTCATTTGGCAAAAAATTGGGTTAAAACAGGCGATGAGAAGGCACCACATTGTCTCCTCACTGGCTGCCAATCACCTCTGAAAAGCGATCCCCATTTAGATGCACATCTAAAGCTGTTTATTGTTATGCATTAAAATGTCACTTTTTTACTATATATACAATTCTTAACCCCTTCACGCCTAAGGGTGAAACAAATCTTAAAGCCCAAGTAAAATTTTACAACGTTGACATTTGTTAATAAAACCGTAACATATCATCACAACTACTTTGTGCATCCAGGTGGATTATACCGCTTTTTTTTCAGGACAAATTGGAATTTCATTTGGTGGTAAATGGTAATGGATATTTGATTTTTTTTTTTTATCAAAGGAAAACTGGCCCAAAATAGTAAAAAAAACACATTTTTTTAAATGTAGCTGTGTGTTTATTGCTACTACCCATAGCCTACCACCAAAGAACAACCCAAAATAAATTTCCCAGCTCTTGACGATCGCAGCGACACCATATATGTATATATTATTTGTTGTTTATACGTGTACTACAGCCCAGAAACAATAGTGCGCATTTTTTTTTTTTTTTTTTTTTACCTAAAATACTCTGAAACTGACACTAATACCAATTTACCAATTCAATACCGGGCAATTTTACACCTTCCTGCCCAGGCCATTTTTCAGGTTTCAGCGCTCTCACACTTTGAATGACAATTGCGCGGTCATACAACATTGTACCCAAACTAAAATTTTATCATTTTCTTCACACAACTAGAGCTTTCTTTTGGTGGTATTTAATCACCTCTGGGGTTTTTATTTTTTTCTAAATTTACAAAAAAAGACCAAAAATTTTGAAAAAAAAAAGTTTTTCTTTGTTTCTGTTATAAAAGTTTGCAAATAAATAATTGTTCTTCATAAATTTAGGCCGAGATGTATTCTGCTACATGTCTTTGGTGAAAATAACCCAAATTAGGATGTATTTTTTAGTTTGTAGGAAAGTTATAGAGTTCACAAACTATGGTATAGATCTGAATATTGATCAATCCTGAAGTACTGACAGCCAATCTAATTTCTTGAGGTCCAAGAATGTCAGAATAGTACAGATATCCCCCAAATGACCCCTTTTTGCAGATTAGACAGTCCGACATACTTCATAAGAGGAATGGCGAGTTTTTTGAAGTTGTATTTTTTTTTGTCATAATTTTTCGGAAAATTAAAAAATTAAAAAAATTAGTTTCACTATTTTTTTTTTACATATTGTCACCAGTGCAGTACAGCGTCATCATATAACTGGCATGGCGGTGATCAGGGACACTGACTGGTGACAGTATGAAAAAAAAAATTATATATTTTTTTTTTATTTTTTTATTGTTTTTTATTAAATTTTTTTTCTTTTTTTTCAGATTTTTTTTTCATATTTCACTATTTACATGAATGACATCGATTCACTCCGGGTTTTTTTTTTTTTTTTTTTTTGTGCTTAGCTGTGATTTGGCCACAGCTGATGACATGTGCATGTGACCTGCTGTGACCATTCACAGCTAGACACTAGTATACAATGGATGGCATGAATGAAGCCATCCATTGTATACAACTGTCATGTGACCTGCTGTGATTGGTCACAGCAGGTCACATGGTACCGGCAACGGGGCCGATACTCAGATCTGTCATCAGCCGTGTCTGAGGTACATGGCCGGTGACAGATCACGCCGCTGCGCCTCTGGAGCGCAATCTGTGCATGTGTGGGAGG